CTCCTCGGAAGGAAGGTTGGGCATTCCTACTTCCGTAGTGATACTGCCTCGGAAACCCAAGGAGGGGTCGCTATGAGTCGGGGCCGACTCGATGGCAAATAACAACAACAACAATAAACTTTGGCAACGTATAATCTTTCTCAGTTATCTGGTCTATTGGAGAAAATATCTAACTCAGAATTCTGTGATGACTAAATGAGATTATGCATGTAAAGTGTTTTACAAAGCACCCAACATGACATCATTGAAAACAGAAGCAATGTGCTATGACAACACTTGGGAAGAAGTGATTCATTTATCTGAAGACCAGAAATGGAATTATAGTGGAGATGATATTTTAAAGATGAGAATAAATCAGTTTAGTTTGTTTAAAGAACTGATCCTAAAATAAAAAATGAAATTCAAACCTAACCTCTTTAAAGTGTTAAAAAGCAAAGATGTCACTTTGAGGAATAAAGTGGGCCTGCCACAAGCCACGGTCTTTTCAATAGCTTCAAATGCATGTGAAACCTGGACAATGAGTAAGGAAGATCAATGGAGGATGATGCATTTTTATGTATTTTATGATGCACAGTTTTATAGCTGTGTTATTTTAGGAATACTATTGAATCTCTCTGAGCCCCCGGCTGCTCTTTATCTTAATGAGGTTGTGGGGAACAACTCAGTTAATGAGGGTAGAGTACTTAGCAGAGTGCTTTACACAATAGATTGTTGTTGTTACTTGCCATCCAGTCAATTCAAACTCATGGACACCCCATGTGTGCAGAGTACAAGTGCTCCATACGGTTTTCTAGGTTGTGGCCTTTTGGAAGCAGATCAGCAGGCCTATCTTCTGAGGCACCTATGTAGGATATGAACCAGCAACCTTTCAGCTAGTAATTGAACACTTAATCATTTGTGCCATGCTGGGACTCCATTATTAATTCAGTAGGCAGAAAGGGATGTTTCAAGCAGATAAAAGACCATTATGAAAAGGGATAGAAGTGAAAACTTCATGACTTCTATAAATGGCAAGCGGCCAAATGATTAGAACATGTGAACTCCTTTTCAAAGTAGTAAGTATCATGGAAATCCACAAGTTATTAATGGTAGTTATAGTATATTCTGATTGATAAAATAAAAGGTAATAATTTCACCTCACTTTCATTCACCCTGGATTGAGAATATACGTAATGTCACAAAACCAACATAAATTCAATAGTGCTTTTAAATTATTTTTATTTATTACTATTTAATTATCAAAGTATGATTTTCAAAAAGTTAAAAAAAATGACTGTCATACAAATGTATAATGAACAAGCATCATATATTTATTTAGCTCACATTCATGCAGAATCAGCGAGATGAGAACTTATAGAGTCCAGAGATGGATCACTTATTAATGAGTTAAATAAATCTATGATACACGTTCAATATATATTTATATATGAGTCATGTGTTTAACCTTTAAAAGTATACATTGCCAAAATATACAAGAATTTGAAAAGCAGTGTGTAAATGCTTGAGATTTGTGCTAAAACCTAGTGTGAAGGTGAAGAGAAGTAGTTTTTACTGTTTATGTTGCAGCTGCCTCATACTAGCTCATGACAGCCAGTTGTATACATCTCTGATGAACTCCATGTCTGGTGACTTTGTGGTACCTTGAAATCAACCAATGGTGACCATAATTACGAATGTACAGAAATTGGTGAACATTACAAATCAGGAAATTTTTTTCCTCTGGAAATTTGGCTGCACACTACTGGAAAGAGTGGAAGGGGATAAAATAGTAAATTCAAATGCATGGACATTATTATAGACATTATTTTGTAGGCAATAACAATTTATGAAAGATTTTTATGGTGGGTGAGTTGGGGAGGATGGTCTTTTTTTCTTTTCTTTTATTGTGATTGGCTGAAAATTTACAGAGCAAATTCATTTTTCATACATCAGTTAGGATGGTCAGCTGTTTGATTTAGAAGACTATTTACTGATAATCATGCTAGCTGTACAAAGGGTGGCTCAGAATGAGAAGAGAATGGAGGTAGGAAGGGTGTTGTTTCAGGTGAGTGATAAAGAAGTACAAATAGGGATAGAGGAAGGTCAAGAATAGATTCCACAGGTTAAGTTAAGGATACGTGTTGAAAGAGGTTTCTAGCTTATGATGAGTGAGACACCACTGATTAAAATAAGTACAATATAAGTGGAACAAGCCCTTTTGGAAATAAGATTCAGTTTCAGATTTCTTGCATTTAAGTTTTCTTCAGGCTATAGGGGTAGAGGCATTCAGTTTATAATTAGGAGTGGAAATTCTAGTTTAGGATTTATTAATATTCAATGATAGCTGAAGGAAGACTTTCAATGAGATGGATTTCCACAGTGACTGCAACAATGAGCTCAAATATAGCAACATTAGTGAGGATGGTGCAGAACTGGGCAATATTTTGTTCTGTTGTTCATAGAGTCACTGTGAGTTGAATCAACTTGATGACAGCAACAACAATGACAGCTGAACTCCTTGGAGAGAACAATCCTGGGAGAAAGAAGGGCCGCTTATGCACAGGGAGACAGCTCAGGGGGCAGGAGTGCATGGAGGGATGGACACCGGGAAGAGGTAACTATGGGGAGGAAGTGGGAGGGGAGCTGTTGCATTGTGGTAAACTGTGGTCAATGTCATGAGACAAAGTGTATGTGAACTGCTGTATGGAAAGTGAATTTGTTCTGTAAATCTTCACCCAAATCACAATTAAAAACAAACAAACAAACAAACAATGATAGCTGCAGCCAGAGTCAAGAGTGACCTTGATGAAGGATTATGCAAAAAGTGAGGAAAAGAAAATGAGAAGCCTAACTTAAGGCTGATAGGAGGGATACAGGATTGAAAGAGCATATTTTGAAAGCTAAGAGATGAATGAAATGCTTGTTGCTCTGGTAAGTAAGTTTTATAAAATATTCTTTACACATTTAGAGTAAAGCATCTTATCACTTTAACATTAAATTAGAGAAAATAAATAACTAAACTTGAACACAATTAACTTTGGACATTCAATGACTTTTTGAGTACAAATGATATACCAAACCAAACCCGTTCCATCAAGTTGATTTGCAGACTCATAACAACCCAGCAGGACAGAGTAGAACTGCCCATAGGGTTTCCAAGGATGTAATTTTTCTCCCACATCTTGTTCCTGTAGAGTGGCTGGTGGATTGGAACTTTGGAGGGCTCTGACAATAAAATAGAATGCCTGATCTCAAGGAGTTTGCCATCTAGACAAGTTAAAAGAGGATGATCATTTGATAAATGATAGTGCCTAAGGCATTTGACTACTAACCAGAAGGCTGGTGGTTCAATCCACCAGCCACTCCTCGGAAGGGAGATTGGACAATCTATTTCTGTAGTGATACCCCCTCGGAAACCCAAGGAGGGGTCGCTATGAGTCGGGTCCTAGTCCACAGTGCGTAACAACAACAATGATGATAGTAACTGTCAGGTACTTTGTCGTTTGTGCTTCATGAAATAATTCTGCAAAGGACTATTATAAATACTGTTCCATTTTATAGGGGAGGAAACTAAGGCATAAAGAGATTAGGTAACATTAGTTGCAAAGCTAGTATTTGGCCCAAGAGTTTGATTCCGAGGCTGCACTTTTAACCACTATCTCTGATTTCAATAGTAGTACTTACCTCACCAGGACAAAAACCTCGAGATCCACCCCCATAAAAATTAACTCAAACTAAGCCAAACTCACTGCCGTCAAGTAGGTCCAGACTCATAGCAACCCCTCCTTGTGTTTCCGAGGCAGTCTCTCTATGGAAGTAGATTGCTAAATCTGCCTTCTGAGGAGTGACTGGTGGGTTTGAACTGCCAATCTTCGGGTTAGCAGTCAAATGCCTTAGGCACTACAGCCTGGAAACCCTGTGGGGCAGTTCTACTCAGTCCTGTTGTTGTTGTTGTTGTTACGGGTGTTCTACTCAGTCCTGTAGGGGCGCTGTAAGTCTGAATCTACTCTATAGTACCTGACTATAGTACCTGACTACCACCACCACCTACCTCATAGAGATTGTTGTTGTTGTTGTTATTATGTGCCATCGAGTCGGCCCTGACTCATAGCGACCCCTCCTTGGGTTTCCGAGGCAGTATCACTACGGAAGTAGGATTGCCCAACCTTCCTTCCGAGGAGTGGCTGGTGGGTTTGAACCGCCAGCCGTCTGGTTAGCAGGCAAGTGTCTTAGCCAGTATGCTACCAGAGCTCATTAGTTTATGTAAAGTTCTTCGAACAGTAAGCACTAAATCCAGTGCAAGTTATTAACCATCATTATCATCATCATCACCCAAGATTACACAGCCATTTTGTGGCAGGGTGATTTTGTGAAGCCAAAATTGATCCCCTGAACCATTATGATATTCAGGGGTTAGCCTAATTCCAGGCAGGGAAGTAACGAGAGTGCGTGTCAGATAGATGCCTTCTAAAATGAGAGATACGCGTGAACTAGATTCTGAAGAACAAGTAGACATAATCCAGGAAAGGGCGTAGGAGTGAAGTATGAGGAAGAAAGAATGACTGGACTGGCTTATGGAACAGAATATAAATAATTCAGATGGTTGGATCCTTCAGTTAGGCAGTGGCAGGGGATGAGGCTGGAGAGATCTCATATACAATTTCACAAAGTGTGTAAATTTGCACTTCATCCCCCAAGAAATGTCACTTTTTGAACAAAGCTTTGTTGTTATTAGAAGACAAAAAAAAAACAAAAACCTGACTCTTTATAAAGGTAAGAAGAAACTTACATCAAAAAGTCAATCTGCGAAGTAAATGACAAATATACAGGTGGGAAATAATTTATTCATTTCCACTCTTATTGCATCTGGCCACCACGCCAGCATGCGAGGTTTGGAATAAGACACTGGCCGACACGCAGGACTGGGTTGCTGACTCTAGCTTCCGGCGTCCTCCGTTGCTAGGGAGACAGGAAACGCGTCCTAAAGCCCCGCCCAAGCGGATCATAGAGTGCCGGAAAAAGGGTGAACAGCAGAGTTAAGCAGGCAAAACTGCAGCGGCGGCCGCGTAGTTTTGTGCGAAAATGACCACTTTAGTGCTGGATAACGGAGCCTACAATGCCAAAATCGGTTACAGCCATGAAAATGTCTCGTAAGTGTTTGCGCTCACCGAGGAGCAGGGCATATACGCCTAATAGTTTTTCACATGTCAGGCTTCATCCTGGGACATCGGTGAAGTGTAGACGCATCCTCGAGGTCCTAATCCGAACAGAGGGATGCTTGACTTGAAGCTGTGGGTAGGGATGCTTTGAACTGTATTTGATTTTGCTTTTAATTTTGGGCAGCGCGGCCCCGGAAGTGGGATGTGTGCTTCCGTTCTAGAGAAGCTTTTCTTAACAAAGGACTGCTAACTAGAAGGCTGGCGGTTCAAATCTACAGGCAACTCGGAAGGAAGGTTGGGCAATCTACTTCCGTAGTGATACTGCCTCCGAAACCCAAGGAGGGGTCGCTATTTCAACTCGATGGCATTGGGTTTGGTTTTGGTTTGGTTTATGGTAGCAAATATTAAGGAGCTCTGGTGGCGTAGTACTTGAGGCATTTGAATACTAACTGGAAGGCTGGCAGTTCAAACCCACTAGCCACTCTACAGAAGGAAGACTGGGCAATCTGCTTTCGTAAAGATTTGCCGTCTGGGAAACCCAAAGAGGGTCGCTATGAGTTGGAATCTACTTGATGCAGTGAGATTTCCCCCCCTTGGTTTACGGCAGCAAAAAAGAAGAAGGGTGGTGGTGGGGAAGGCATAAACAGATAGATCAAGGGTAACAAGTTGATTAAATAAATGATGCAGCCCTAAGATTGAATACAGGAGGTCTGGTGGCACAGTGCCTAAGTCATTTGACTGCTAACCAGAAGGTTGGCGGTTCGAACCCACCAGCTGCTTCGTGGAAGGAAGAACAATGCAATTTCTTAAAATCTTGTCCTCGAATATTTATACTTAGAGAGAAAATGCTGACGGTGAACTGGGGTGTTCAAAGACAAGTAGGTGGAATAAGTAGGACAAACCATTTTTACAGTATTATCCCAATACTCTATATACTGGGAATATATCCCTGAGTGTGTACGTATGATAATCACTTTTGTTTGTCTTCTTAACCAGGTGGTACCAGGTGGTAAGCTTACAGTGGGCAGGAATCATATTTAAAATTGCTTAATTCTGTACCTTGTAGTATCTTGTTGATTGAAAAACGTTGGTTTCATGTAAATTAATTTTATTGCCAGAATTTTGAACTTGTGATTCTTTTACCAGAATGGTAGAAAGAGTTTCCGCATGAAAGTCAGAAAGACCAGCACTTTATGTGGGTCTCAGCTCTCAGCTATACAGTGGTGGAACCTATAGCCAACAGCCAACCAGTTGCGGTCAAGTTGATTGTAACACCTACCTGTGAAGATTTCTTGAGGGTTATTTAAGAAACACAGAGGTTCTAACCTAGAACCTAAAACATACTAGATTTTTTTTTTTTTTTAAGAAGCATTTTTCATTATTTGAAGACAGAATGAAAAACACTGGTTTTCAACATCCTAATTTTGGCATCAGAAATTGTATTTTTACATCAGTGAAAATTGTATTTTACATCAGTAAATGTATTTTTAGGAACTGAGTATTTTGGGAATAATTCTTCTATTTGTTTCTTTGTTTATAGGGTTATTCCTAACTGTCAGTTTAGATCAAAAACAGCTCGTCTCAAAACCTTTACTGCTAACCAAATAGATGAAATAAAAGATCCTTCTGGACTCTTTTACATCCTTCCTTTTCAGAAGGTAATCCAATTATATGTCATTTCCAGCATTGTAGATCTAAATTTAAGGATATATGAGACTTAGTAAGTATGTGTGGGAATATATTTAGATCTCTAAGAAAAGGTGATTTAAATTTTAATTAAGATCTTATTAAAACCAAAAATTGAAATTAAATTGCCTTGATAAAAAAAATTACCATCATTTTGTTACTGATTGCAGGTACTGAATTGTGTTTATTTAAAAAGCCAAATGAGATGAATGCATTAATTTAAAAAATTAAGTGTAAAGAAGCATCTCTACCTATTAGTCTTTCTTTGAACCCTTGAAATTTGGATTAGTGATAATTTATAGTATTCTTGAACTTTTAAAAGAAGAAAAGCAGGAGGCGGGGCAAGATGGCGGACTAGGCAGAAGGATTGCACAGACCCTCTTCAACAAAGAAAAGGGAAACCAATTAATACAGACACAGAAGATAATCCTGGACCCCTGAGCCTTGAAGGAAAGGATGCAGATTTAGACTAAACCCCAACTAGCAGAAGAATTTGTGTGA